ATATATCAATAAAGCTGTGAAGAAGAAAAGGACCACTTGGGTTTTGTGACTGGTTCTCTTCCTGCTTTTGAGAACGCTGTGATTCCGTCATGTGAACTAGTGCAGGCTGGCCTGCTGGATGGATGATGAGAGACAAAGAGCCTACTTACTCCTATCACTCTGGCAACCACCAGCCAACTACCAGACTCATGCGTGCGGCTCACATCGTATAGTGCATAAAGTACGTGTCATATAGTATATAAACTTTTATCATTGGTGTTTCTCACAGCCAGCTGAAGGCAGATGTTGGGCGGATCCAGTCAAAACTAGAACCATTCAGCTGAGCCCGACTCTATCACAAATCCATAGTCATGACCTTAAAAAAAACTGGCCATTTTCCACACGAATATACACACAGGCATTTAGGTGGTAACATTTTTCAGGCTTCAGAGTTAACTACCTTAAATCTCCTTCCACAACAACCTTCCTTTCTTCTTCTTCCCCATTTTAACAGTCTCCCTTGTGAGAACCTGTTAAGTATGGAAAAGGGGCCTTTCCCTGCCCTCAGGCTTAAGGCCATTTTTAGAAAAGTGGTCATTTGCAATCCTACAGGACTGGGCTCTGGGAATAAGAAGCATATGAACTTGGTCCCTCAACAGCCTTCTTCATGCCCCACACCCTTAAGTAGAATCACTGGGCTCCAAACTCTACTGACTGCTTCTCTGAAGCAGGAAAAATGTTCCATGAGGGCAGAGTCCTGGACTACCTTACTTTTGGTTGATCTCTATTATGGTTTCTATCTAGATGGTCCCCCAAAGCTTCATGTACTCATGGGTATAGGCTTCTCCAGTTTGATATTGACTCATGGTCCAATGCTGGGATTATGGGTATGAGTGGTACACCTGCCCTGGGCCAGATAGCCTGCATATAATATAAGGGAGGAAAAGAGGCTCGCTCTTACTCCTTTTTTTTGCCCCTTTTATACTAGTTGCTTTTGCTGTCTTCTGCCACCATGAATTGTTGATTCTCTGTTGTACCACCCTACTTTGGAGCCAGCAGATATGGACTGAAATCTCTACAAACTACGAGCTAAATAAATCTTTTCCTCTTTAATTTTGGGCATTGGACATTTTATCTCTGCAACAAGAGAAAAGTAAGCAAGACAATCTCCAGACGCTAGTCCAGGGCCTCCCGTAGAGTTGGTGCTCAGTAAATGGCCGAGTCGATGTGTGAGAGAAAGAAGAAATAATTCAGAAACAAACCACTTGCCTAATTTTTAGAAAACTTTTATTTTTTACAGTTCTGAGGATTGAACTCAGGGCTTCATTCATAGGTTAGACCAGTGCTCCACTATTGAGATATACTCCCAGCCCTGTGCTGCTTTAATTTTTAAATTAACTTATAATAAAATTGCCTTTTTTTTTTTTTTTTCCTTTTTGCGGAACCGGGGATTGAACTCAGGCCCTTGTGCTTGCCAGGGAAGCACTTATTCCACTAAGTCATCTCCCCTGCTCCTAAAATTGCCTATTTTATGTGTGCAGCTGAGATTTTTAAAACACATGTACAGGTTCATGATGCAAAACAGTTCTCGTTTCCCATCAACACTCTCTAATGCTATCCTATTGCAATCACATCATCTACTTTTCCTACCCCCTTTCAACTACAGATCTATTCAGTGTTGCCTTTTGTGACAGTGCCATACAAATGGGACCAAACAGTATGTAATCTTTTAAGACTGGCTTCCTTCACTGAGCATAATGCTTCTTATGCTCACGCAATGTTTTGCACGGATCAATAGTTCATTCCGTTTGGTACTCAACTTTTAATTTTTAAATACTTAGAGAATCACAGATCATTACCACAAAAATTCTGCCAAGAGGTGCTGTGTGGTCTTCCCAAAATATTAACATTACATGATCATTTTTGAGTGTCAAAACCAGGAAATTGACATTGGTATAAGTCACAGATTGTATTCAGCTTTCAGTAGTTTAAATGCACTCATGGGTGTGTAGTTCAATGCAATTTGATCACATGTGTAGATTTGCATAAGTTCTACCAACATCAATCTACAGAACTGTCCCATCACTACAAAGATCTCCTTCCTGAGACCCCTTTGGTCAGTCCCATTTTTTTTCCTTCACCATCACTAAGCCCTGATAAGCATTACTATTTTATATTTCTAAAACTGTGTCATTTTGAGAATGTTATATATACAGAATCATATAGTATGTACACTTTCATGATTGGCATTTTTCACTCGGCATATTGCCCTGAAGATCCATGCAGTCCGTGGTGTGTATGAAGTGGGCTGCTTCCTATTGCTGAGCAGTGGTAATCTGTGGGATGGATGTTGCACAGTCTGTTTAACCATTTGGCCATTGAAGGAAATGTGAGCTGTTTTTAGCTTTTGGCTGTTAAGAACAAAGCTGCTATGAACACTCGTGTGCATTTTGTCAACATAGTCTTCTTTGTGTGTGTCGGGGGGGGGGGGAGCGGTAAAGGCCCAGAGGTGCAACTGCTACGCTGCATGGCAGCCATATCTCCAGTCTGACAAGAAGCTATCAAAGTATCTTGCAGAGTGGCTGTGCCATTTTACATTCCTCCCAGCAAGATATGAGGGATCCAACTTCTTGACATCCCTGCCAATATTTGGTGCTGTTTTTTTCTGTGGCTATTTTGACAGGTGGATAGCTGTATCTCATTGTGACTTTTTTTTTTGTCTTTTTGAGACAGGGTCTCACTATGCAGATCACGCTGGCCTTGAACTCACTTTGTAGCCCAAGCTGGCCTAGAATTCACAATTATCCTCCTGCCTCAGCTGCCTGAGTACAGGGATTACAGGTGTGCGTCATCACGCCTGGCTTTCATTTTGATCTTCCTGCTTTCTCCTAACTAATGATGTAGACCTCTTTTCATGTGCTTATTTGCTGTCTCTAGATCCTCCTTTTGTTTTTTGCCCTCTTCCCCCTTTTGATAGTACTGGGCATTGAGCCAAGGCCTTCCCATTGAGTTCTATCCTCCCAGATCTTTATTTTTAAAATTTTGAGACAAGGTCTTAACTAAGTTGCCTACCCTAGGCTCAAACTTGTGATCCTCTTGGTTTAGCCTCCTAGTGTTGGGATTACAGGCATAGACCACTATGCCTGAGCACACTTTTTTTTTTTTTTTTTTTTTGCAGTGCTGGGAATCAAATCCAGGGCCTAAGGCATGCAAGGTAAGTGTACTAATCCTGAGATATAAGTCCGGTGTTTGCCCATGTCTTTCACTGATGAGTTTGGAGAGTTCTTTATATGTTTGAGATACAGATCTGTTGTTGGATGTGTGATTTGCAAATATTTTATCTCAGTACCTAAGTTCTTTTTCATGTGTAAAGCGAAAGTTAATTTTGTTATGGTTCAATTTAGCAATTTTCTTTCTTTTTTGAATCATATTTTTGGTGTGTTAAACCCTTAAATTTAAGATTTCTGGATCATCTTTGATTTTTTATCTCTTGATTCATGCCTTTCATGTCTGGTGAACTGCAAGCCTAATCTCAACACATTCTTTCAACTATGTCTCCACCTTACGTTATTCTGGTCACTCCAACATACCCCTGATGATTGCTAGCTGTGGTTATATCCCTCTCCTGGTCCACAAACTTAGCTGCCCCCGGCTGCCTAAGAACGAAGTCCAACTCCTTCACTCAGATGGGCCCCATTCATGTGTTTCTCTCCATGCCTTCTCTGTGGAGGACAACTGCAGGGGATCCTTGCACTTAAGTGAGGGTCACTTCTTCTGGAAGCACTTTCAGAGCTTGGGAATAAGTGAACTCATAGGTGGACAGAACATGTCACATTCTAGTGGCCCATGTTCACGGAGAGGAAAGCTGGGCGCTATATTCTATTGCCTTGACTTGCTCTCCAGTTACATTTGGAGGTAATTTAAAAAAGCAACAGAAATAATTTTCACCAAAAGCTGTTGATGAGCAATGTTGAATTTGGGTAATAATGAAAATGTAAGTTTAAATGATGCCCATTATCTCCCCTACAAATCTAGGTTTTCTAGCAAAGGGTAGCAGCCCAAGAAAAGTTCTAAAGGCCAGCACAGGCTGGATCCTGGGGAGACAGACCAGAAGACTAAAACTATACTAGATGAGAGTGAAGCACACTGGGGCAAGACATCTGGAGTCCTCTTGTTGCTTTTCCCATTTTCCTACTTTGAATCACAATGAGTATAAAAAATAGTTTGCTTTTTGCTCAACTCCCTTACAAGAGAAAAACAAAACCCAAATAGTGTAAGTGGAATGGTAAATGGAAACTCACACTTAGCCTTTAGTAAGATGTACAGAGGGGAGTGGTGGGGTCTGAGGCAAACAGGAAGGCACACGCTTGTAAAGGCACAGCTTTAGTCGTTCACTACTGTGTAGCCATGTTGGCCAAGAGTGACCAGAGCTTTCCATTTTCCAAGAGAAGTCAAAGATATATATTTTAATGTAACATTTCTACAGTATTAGATTTGGGTAAATGACTAAAATTTTTAAAGTTTATATAGTATGGAGGGCTGGGGATGTAGTTCTGTGATAGAGTGCTTGTCTGGCATGGGTGAGGCCCTGGGTTCTATTCCTGGTACTGAAAAAAATGAAAATGAAGCTCTGTGGAGCATCCATGTGACTGGCCAAACAAAACAATTCTAGAGGCATGATGTGGCTGATGGTCCCCCAGCTTGAAATTTCTGGAATGGTCTTGATTTACATCGGTGGCACTTCATTTTATTCTCAAACATCTTGGTTTGGACAATTAATTACACTGTTATCCTACCTCTAATGTCTAAGAATGAGTACTGGACTGTGATTCAGGGTCCTGCATTCTATTTACTTATCAACTAACTCATTTGTCTAACCATTGATTCAAAAAAACATTGTCTCCTCTGTGCTAGGTACTTTGCTAGGTGCTGGTGAAAGCTCTATTCCTTCTTAATGAATAGATTATTTTTAGGACATCTTTAGGTCTACAGAAAAACTGAGCAGAAAGTACAGACAGCACTCACATATTCCCTTCCTCCTGCTCCTGTAGACAGTTGTTCTGTTTTGTGTGTTGGTACTGGGGATGGAACTCAGGACCCTGTGCTTACCAGGCAGGTGCTTAAGCCACAGTTATCTCCCTGGCCCAGCAGTTGCACTTATTAACATTTGCATTAGTACATTCCACTTGGTCCTGTGGATGAAATAATACTGATATATTATTATTAAAATCGACAGTTTATATGGGGGGTCACACTTAGCATTGTACAGTTCTATAAATTTTAAATTGTACAACGTTATGTGTTTGCCATTACAGTTTTTAACAGAATAGTATCCTTGCCCTAAGTTCTGTCATATTGTTGGAGTCACACAGTGTGCAGCCTTTTGCAGTGTCTCCTTTTACACAGCAATAGACATTTAAGCTTCTTCCGTGTTTTTTTCATGGTTTGCTAGTTCATTGCTTTCTACCACTAAATAATATTCCATTGTCTGGATGTATCACAGTGTATCCATTTGCCTGATGAAGGTCATCTTGGTTGTTTCCAAGTTTTGAAAATTATAAATAAAGCTGTCATTCCTGTATGGACATGAGCTTTCAACTTACTCAGGTAAGTGTAAGGACAGCAATTGTTGGACCACATGGTAAGACTAGTTAACTTTGCCATAAACTGCCCAACTGTCTTTCCAAGTGGCTGTGTTATTTTGTATTCCAATCAGCAGTGGATGAGTTTCTCTTGTTCCACATCAGCTCCAGTACTTGGCGTTTTCAGTGTCTTGGATTTCAGCCATGCTAATAGGTGGATAGAGGTATCTCAGGGTTTCAGTTTGCAACACCTTGGTGACACATAATGTTGAACATCTTTTCATATACTTTCTTGTACATCTTCCTGGGTGAGCTGCCTGCTCACATCCTTTGCACTTTTCAGTCCTGGGGATTGAGTCTAGGGCCTCTTACATGTTAGGGACATGCTCTGCCAGTAAACTATATCCCTAACTCCTTCAAAAAATGGGGAGTGGGTCCCAAGAAATTGTCCAGGCTGGCCACAAACTTGTGATCCTTCTTCTGGGTCATCCTACTTTGACCTTCTGAGTACTGGGTTATAGGCTCAACCCCCCATGTCTGGCTGCCCACTTTTACATTGGGTTGCTTGCTTTCTTGTTGTTGTAATTGTTCTTGGTATTATGTAGATGTGGTTATATAATCCTTTATTGGATACAAGCTTTGCAAATATTTTTCCAACTTTGTGGCTCATCTTTTTATTCTCTTAAGAATTAGTCTTTTGGGGCTGGAGAGAGAGCTCAGCAGAATAAGCGCTACCCTCGCAAGCGCAAGGGCCTGAGTTCAATCCCTGGTTCCAAAAAAAAAAAAAAAAAAAATCAGTCTTTTTAATGTAGAGCAGTGTTATCCAATAGAACTTTCTGGGATAATGGAAATTTTCTGTATCTGTGCTACCTGCTATGGTAGCCAGTATTCACATTTGGCTAATTAAACACTTGAATATGCTTAGTGCAAATGAAGGACTGAATTTAATAGCCACCTGTGGCTAGGGGTGCTCTATTGGGCAATGCAGATATATAACAGCGTTCTTGTGCTTTTTTCTTTTCTTTGTGTCACTGACTGGGGTCATCCTTTTATCCTTTGTTTACAACTGTCCTCTTCAATCCATTAGTATGGCCTGTGTATTTTACTTCCAAAATATATTACAAATCCACCCATGTTCCTCCATCCTTCATTGCCAACACTATCCCAGACCACTATTGCTTTTTACACAGATGATTCTGGTAGCCTCAAAACTGGTCTCCTTGGTTCCATCCTTATCCTCTATGACCTGTTTTGCATAGAGCAATAAAAGCATCACACCAGGCTACATTACTCTCATTTCCAAAACCCTCTAATGGCCTCCAGTCAAACCTAGAATCACATCTGAGAGACTCAACTGTAGGATCTGGTCTTGTGTATGCTATCTCCTACCCATGCTCTCCCTGGTCACCTGGTTCTAGCCACATGGATCTTCTTGGTAGGGACTGAACACACGGATTCCTTTTCCCCCTCAGGGCTTTCTCTTTCTTTGTACTTACTGTTCCTTCTGTCTCAAAAGCCCTGTCCTTAGCTCCCATTTCTGATCCATCTCATCACCTCCTCTACCTTGGATTGAAAGATCTCAACTCGAGTCATCTCTCAGAGGCCTTATGACCACTCAGGCTGAGTAGCCAGCCCATGCAACTTCTTTTTCTGTCACTTGATCCTGTTTTATTTTCATCAATGCACTTAGCACACTGAAATCATATTATTTTTCTTTATTAGTGTGCTGTCTGTCTGTCCATACAAGCTGTATGCCTGTCTTGTTCAGTACTCCATTGCTAACACTCTCAGCATTGCCTGGCATGAAGCAGTTGCTCAAGACCTATTCA